GGACTCTACTACCGTGCTCCAGTGGCTGCAATCGGAGTCATGCCGATTCAAAGTGTTTGTTGGCACACGTGTTGCAGAGATTCGAGATCTCACCGAGGGCGACACATGGCGATACGTGGACTCTGCACAAAACCCTGCCGACGACATAACGCGTGGTAAACCTCTCAACACATTGACACCAGACAGCCGCTGGGGTCAAGGCCCAACCTTCTTGCGGTGTGACCCAGACAAATGGCCACAAAGTCCTCAGATTCAGACAGAGGCAGACCAGGGTGAAGAGCTCAAGAAACCTCCGTTCTGCGGCCTCACTACTACCACGCCAAGTCATCTCCCTGACGCTAATCAGTTCTCTTTCTTCAAGGACCTCCTGACTGCCACAACTAAGACTCTACATGGGGCGGCCCCAGGCAACGTCACAGCCTACAGGCAAGCCCAGCTGACTCTGCTACAACAGGTCCAACAAGACAGTTTTCCTATTGACTATGCCCAGCTGCAGTCAGGAAAACCAGTCGCCAAGAGCAGCAGACTTCTCAAGCTGGCACCAGAGTTCGACCACAGGGACCAGCTCATTCGTGTTGGCGGACGTCTGCGCCATAGTAACCAGCTGGAACTGAATACTGTTCACCCGGTGGTGCTGGATGCCAAACACCCAGTCACGCAGCTGCTCATCCAAGAGTATGATTGCCGTCTGCACCATCCAGGCCCAGAGATGGTCTTCTCAGAGATGTGCCGCAAGTATTGGCTACCAGGAGGGCGAGAGGCTATCCGCCGCTTTCAGCGAAAGTGCCAAGAGTGTCAGAAATGGCGTGGAAAGCCACAAATCCCTAAAATGGCAGACCTTCCTCCATCCAGAGTCCGACTTTTCAAGCCAGCATTCTACTCAACAGGAGTAGACTGCTTCGGGCCATACTCGGTAGCGATTGGAAGGAGGAGTGAAAAGCGCTGGGGAATAATCTTTAAATGCATGACCACCCGAGCTGTGCATATCAATCTACTCTCCAGTTTGAATGCAGACTCATTCCTCATGGCTCTGAGACGGTTCATCGCCTGCAGAGGAAAGTCGTTCGAGCTAATCTCAGACCAGGGAACTAACTTCAGAGGTGGCGATCGAGAGCTCCGGGAAGCGTTCGCCGACCTTGCTCCAGACGTCAAAGCCCAACTCACCTCTCAGCAGATCGACTGGAAGTTTAATCCACCTAAAGCCCCCCATTTTGGCGGCTGCTGGGAGCGCGAGATACGCTCAGTAAAACAAGCCCTACAAGTAACCCTTGGAGCTCAGCTTGTGACAGATGAGGTACTGAGAACCCTACTAGTTGAGATTGAGGGGATTCTCAATTCCAAACCATTAGGCTACAAATCTGCAGACATCGCCGACTCTGATCCAATAACTCCCAACTCCTTGCTCATTGGGCGGCCAGATGGTGTATTCTGACTCCGAGCTCCTAAGCAGTAGGCGTTGGCGCCATAGCCAGCTGTTGGCTGACCACTTCTGGAAGCACTTTATCCGTTTCTATCTGCCCAGCCTCCAGGCCCGACAGAAGTGGAATGCTGAAAACCCAGACCTGCACATCGGCAAGACGGTTCTCATCATCGACCCGCAGCTCCCTCGCTCACTGTGGCCAGTGGGTACAGTGACCAGCATCTTTCCTGGCCTCGACGGTAAAGTACGATCTGCGGAAGTGAAGGTCGGAGACCGGTCGTACACCCGCCCTGTGGCTCGACTCATCCAGCTTCCAAAGTTGTCAGATTAACCACTACCGGACGAGTGGGCGCCTTTTCTTCTTCTGCAGATTCCCTTTAGTAATCTGGGGGCGACTGTAAAAAAGGCCCCCTTGTGGAAGCTAAGCGTCAGATACTTTACTGTGACTTTCTCTCTCCTACTGGAAGACGCCTCGCTTTACCTGGACTCTTAGCCAATCACAAGTTGATTCAGGATCGCTGCGCGCGAGTATTATTCTGTCAGAGGCTAGAGGCTAGTCTTCGTGTCGTGATGCTTCTTTCTATTGATGTATAAGTTGCCACTCGGGCATTATTCTTTGGTTATACATTGTGAAATACCAGTTAAACACTTTCTGTGCATAGTTTGTAAGCTATCGCGGCAATATTTGTCTTCAATCCAGTTAATCGGTTATAGGGCGCGCCTCCCGCATATACACTGGTCATCACGTGACACCTCTCGGAGCGGCTTGGTTTAGTTATTTATGTGACCAGCATAGGGAGCCATTGTATTGCGAATGGTTTATCCTTTGTCATTGTTACAATTGTAGTTGTTTAGATCCACAGGACAGCCTTTTTCATTCTGTTAATCCCAGTTTCGGTTATGTTAAAATATTACTGTATTTTATTCCTGCTATATTTTTTGAATAGGATACAGTTGATACAAATAGAAGTTGTTGCATGATAATCATTCATTGCATTTAACTAATTATGTTTGTTTATTTCTTCTATTTGTTTTCAGAACCACACACACACACACACACATACACGTCAATGTACATTCAACCATGCAGTTGTAAATGCAATAAATGCTTTCAATGAAGACATCTCGTGTGATTCTGACCGATCACCCGCTGTGAGCTCTACCTAACGATCCATAAACTATCTAAATCAAAGAAGCCAGTCATCTTCTGCACAGTTATCTTTAACGTGCAACGGACATAAACACAGTACAACAACATAGCATGGCGACAGCAGACAACATGAAGCGTACATCATAAAAGCAGACAAGAAAACATTTGAAATTAAGAGAGCTTACCCAAGTGGCTGCACACCAGGTTGATTGTCATTACAAGCTATCTAGATTTCTTCCTCTAAAAAGGTACAAGATGGGTGTATTTTTACTGATTGGTGTCTTTATTTTGAGTATGTAAAATAACAACAAAAACAAAAACTAATAAAAACAAAACAGTACTACAAAAAAAAAACAATGACTTTGACAGCGTCAGAAAAAATCTGTACTTCATGAGTGTTACGAATGACACACATACTAAATTATATCCCTTCACTTGCTCTCTTGCCAATAAATTAACATTAGGCCTACTAAAGGCCTTTGAACGGAACTTGTATTCCAATAAGCTATGAGACAACTTCCTGTCACACACTGTCATGAAGACATGAACCTGCCAGTTACAACTTTGTGAATGATAAGCTAATAATACACATATTACGCCCTCTAAGTTATGCTTGATTCAAATTGTTGAAGGATAACCTGTAATTTTTAATTTGTTGTTTAAATGACTAACATTCATTACCGTTACTGTTTTTTTTCAATGAAGTCTGGTAACTTAATATAACTAATAATTAAACTAAACGAATTAAACTAATAATCAAGTGAATTCAATAGCTGGGTTTCAGTCACGTGATTATGATGACGCGCGAAATTCAGATGGAGGGCAGGGAGTGAAGAGCGCAATGGACGAGATGGAGGAAAGTCCGTACTGTACTACTTTACACGCTATTACAAGAGAAAGATATAAACAAAAAATCAAACATATGTTGGACGTGATCCTTACGTTATTAAGAGGAGCGATTTTTCAACTGAATTTAAAGATTTTCCTGCCATCGAGGCGGTAGATTTCAGCAACTACCTCGTCTTACAGACATACTTTGACTTTACAAAGTTCGGAAACGTTACACGTTACACAAACATAGCCACTTAAGTTGTATTAACTCACCTTTGACGAAGTGATCACTGCACACACGGGAATTTTCCCATTCGGCTCCTCCCGACCACAGACGTAGGTTTGCAAGCCGTTTTTCCGGAGTTTTTCGGTCAATTTCTTGCATTTTTCCCCCTTATGAACAACAACTTTTGGTACATGATAAAAACTCATCGTGGTTTGATCGATTAAAGTAACCATAAACGACGCAAAACATAGGCATTTTGAGTTTGTTATCGTGCTTTCTAAATACAGCAAATCACTTCCTGCCCTCCATTTGCATTTCGCGCCATGGCAACGCAGTGGCGTGACGTCATATGAAAACAAGCTATAAGTTAATTAATTTACCAATTACTGAATATAAAACCATCTCAGTAGGCTAGTTGTATTTGCGTTATTACTCGTTAGGCTACTGACAAAAGTTGTGGAATTACTTTCAACACTGCTATTACTTTATCTTACAACCTGAGCCTGTCATTGACAAAAAACAAACAATGTTTAGTGGACGCGCTTGGATCAGGCACAGTTGACCTAAATAAATGTTACGTAAAATTTTAGCTTGTGTAACAACTTACTGCTGGAACGACGATGCTTGAACCCTCTGCTTCAGCCACAGGGCTTGCATTAGTTTGGTCGTTTGTGGCTGTCCTTTCATTTGCTCCAGGTAAACCGTGGCGAGTCGGTTCTTCATCCTCCGCCGCTTCAACGCGGAGAATATGATGCGCATGTGTCCGCTTCACAGGAGTTATGGAATTATTTTTGTGCCAATAAAAATGAACGTAACTTTTCAAGAAATCAATGAAAATATAAATTTAAACTGAATAAAATATATTTGAAACTGAAAAAGAATGAAAAAGTATTTATTTTACTGATCTAAACTTACAAATGCGCTTCCAGAGTTTTCATTTACGCTTCTGAAGGTTTTGTTTGCTTCTGAAGTTTTCATTTACGCTTCTGAAGTTTTCGTTTACGCTCCCTGAGTTTTCGTTTACGCTCCCTGAGTTTTCGTTTGCTGTTCTGACACAAATCTCTCGTGGGGGCGGGGCTAGTAGCAGTGTGTTCTCATTGACTACTGAGTTTTTGATTGACAGCTTCTTGACCTGGAAGTGAAGACGCCAGTGTTGTGTTTACATGTGTGGATGTGAGCGTCTGTAAGCGCAGCTTTATATTTCATTTAGGTGATATTAAGTTTATATCTGTATTGATTTACTGCTACACTATATTGTTGAGATGATTTCTTATAGAGGGAATAGTACAGACAAATTATATAATTTGTCATCGTCGATATCAGAATACTGGATAGCCTACTCGTGGTAGCCTAAGTCAGATTTAATTTTTTTTTTAAATTTTTTATTAATTAATACTAAACTAATACTATTTATAATGCAGTACTTGCTTTTTCAGGTGGAGAGGCATATTAGAGCTCAATGAGAGCCCATAACATTATACAGCAGTGTTGTCTTGATTTAATTGGTAAAGTTAGCCCAATCATTACATGACTTGTTTATTTAACGTTACATACGGTTACATTACAGTCTTTGATTAGATCATATTTCCCCCCTGCCACCCCAAACAACATTGGGCTAGAGTACTGTACAGTATCTGTACTGTAGCCTACAGTACAAAAAGTACTGTATCAGACAATGACCGATGCCATTGGACCAGAGCGCTGTCAATCACTGCCCGATTCAACTTTGGCAATGTAAAGCCAATTGCTGATTAATCAACACATTCTCATCCCAAGGCGTCATCTAACTGACACTTTTGACCATGCGTCAACTTGCCGACGCACATGGTACCCTTTAAGCGTCAATATGAGACGCTCATCCTCGGGCGTCTTCTAACTGACGCTTTTGACCATGCGTCTAAATCCGACCCACATGGCACCCTTTAGCGTCAGTAAGATGACGCTTCCGTTATGGGTAGGTTTAGGTCTGGGGTAGGGTTAGACCAATAGGAGGCGCGTCTCATATTGACACTTAAGGGGTACCATGTGCGTCGGCATGTTGACGCATGGTCAAAAGCGTCAGTTAGATGACGCCTTGGGATGAGAACGGGCTGGATTAATTTGCGATGCAGAGTTTTTAAAAGAGGAGAGACAGGACTTGACCACATTTCACGTCTCTATTCATAATATGTAAACACTCAATTATTTTGAAGTATCACCCTGGGCGCAATATTTATTCTGCAAAATGCAACAAAATGCTTTTCTGTGTCCATATTTGAGCAATAATAATAAAAAAAAAAAAAAAAAAAAACATTTCGGAGAAAAATGTTGAATTTTTAAAACACTATAATAATAAATATATGTCCAAATGCAAAACCTAATACATCCAAGTAATTATGACTGAAAACATCCAGCAACTAGGGAATACACAGCCATGGATAAATGTTTATAGGGCTATACAGCCATCTACTGGTTACACAACAGTATTACAGATGATAAATGGTCGATGACTCGGAGGCAAATATTTAGTACTGTAAAATCCCTTAAAACATTTCTATACTTTGTTTGAAATAATTATTTTAAGTCTGCAACTTGTTACTGCATGTGGGAGTTCAAAGCAGTTTGTATTGTTAGATTATAATACATTTCCTTTCTCGTTTTCCAGGGAGTTGAGCAACTTTTCCATAAACAAAATTGTGATGCTGACACAGAGGATGGAGTGATAATACCAGAGATCAACTGTCTCCATCAGACAATAATGTTACTTTGTTCAGACATATCACCTTTGAATGACTGGGATCCTGATCTTCAGACACCTGATGTATTTTATTTTAATATTATAAAATAGCAAATATTTTAATTTCTTTGGAGCTCTAGATTAAAACAAACACAGTTTACAAGTACACAAGAGGTTGCAGTTTATTCTTATTAGTCTATGCTGATCATGGATTAGCATACCAACAGCATATGAATGGGATAGTTCACCCAAAAATAAAATTCTCACTTATTTTACTCACCCTCATGCTGTCCCAGATGCATTTTACTTTCTTTCTACAGATAAATACAAATTAAGATTTTAAGGAAAGTAATCCATCTCTGCGAGTCCTAAAGATGCTTTAAAAACCACACACAGTGACTGTCCATGCGACCTCAGTGGATGAATCAATGCCTTCTGAAGTGAAACAAGAGGATAAGAAAAATACTACTAATGTAAACTGTTTTAACTATTAAAAATCACTTCCGACCAACTGTCATACATGGGTTACAATCCACTTGTCTTATATGGACTCACAGAGATGGATTATTTCCTTAAAAATCTTTGTAATTATGCATTTTGTATGTATATTATGAGAATACTGGGCATTACATGTAGTATGCAGTTAATGTTTTGTGGCTTCTGGTCTTTCCTGTCACAACATAATCGCATCCAAGACTTTCACTTTGATACTTGTGTATATGCTGTAGTGACAATAAAGAATGTAAATTTATTTGATTTTTTATTTAAATTCATTTAACTGATTTTATAAGTCATAATTGAACCTGTTGATGATTGTTCAAATATATTTACAATTTTAAATGTTAGAAGATAATATTAACTAAATGAAATAAATAAAATGATCAGCATGATTAAAAAAATGGCAACAAAAATATTATTTGTGTGAAATATGTAATGAAATGCCCTTTGAGGTCTGTATCATCTGACAGCAAGCCACGATTGTAATTTTCATAGTTTAAATTCCTCTTATTTAAGTGATCATACATTTTGATGGTGTAAATGCATATGGTAACAATGAGAAATTTGATGGCCATGGTTGCCAACCTTGATTACCTGGTTGAAGTGAAACTTTCTTGATGGCTGAATATATCACACACGTATACTAGTAGGCTATTCTCTTTAAATTGTAATAGCACAACCTAATCAGAGCCTAACATGCAAAAGAATCATCAGGAATAAACAAATATTCTCCTAAAACATTGGACACAATATTTTAAGTAGGCATACATAGGCCTACTTTGATGTACAATTACACCTGAATAGACTGAAGAGATCTCTTGTGCTCCTAAAAGTTTCTGTTGACAAAGTAGTAGCAGCAGCAGGTAAATACAGATACAATTCAAAAACAAACATAACTTAATATCACTAAAATTAAATAGAAAGCTGCGCTTACAGACGCTCACATCCACATAAACACAACACTGACGTCTTCACTTCCAGGTCAAGAAGCTGTCAATCAAAAACTCAGTAGCCAATGAGAACACACTGCTACTAGCCCCGCCCCCACGAGAGATTTGTGTCAGAACAGCGAACGAAAACTCGGAGCATAAACGAAAACTTCAGAAGCGTAAATGAAAACTTCTGAAGCGTAAATGAAAACTCTGGAAGCGCATTTGTAAGTTTAGATCAGTAAAAGAAATATGAGGAATAGTTAGCAAAACATGCAGTGTATTAAAAACAAAGTAAAAAAATGTTGCTTGCGATTCATTATTTTTCAGTTTCAAAGATATTTTATTCAATTTCAATTTCAATTTTCATTAGTTTCTTGAAAAGTTACGTTCATTATTATCGGCACAAAAATAATTCCATATTATACACCCTGTACTCACTTGGACAGCCATCAATCCCGCACACAAGGGCTGCGACTGTGCATGGTGTTAATGTGACTCAAAAGTTGTTTCAGAGTCAATGCCACAAATATGTAGCATATGAAGCAACGCCAAATCATGTTGGAAGCAAATATGTCACAGGCAGGAGAACGGTAAACTGCTCACAGGTCGGTGGAGCAAGATGGCCGTAAAAACTCGTTACTATGGTTACACCTGCCAGCTAGCCGCTGCAAAATGAGAATGTGGGCGTAAACTAACGGATGGTATGGGACCGACTTGGATTTGAACTTGGATTGACGTGTTTCATTGCAAGTAAGTTAAATTAAAGTGCTGTATGCTCATTCTTTGTAGTTCATATCGCACACACACACCCTTTGACTGTTGTCGACGTTTCAATGTGTTTGTGTATCGTTGCAGCCGAACAGAGACAGCGAGGCAAACTAACGTTAACGGAGCTAACTTAATTAGCTAACGTTAACCAAGTCAGCCAACAGCACGGAAGAATTGGATGATGTCGCAGTGTCGATTTAAAGGTGCAATGTGTAACATTTTTGAGTATCTATTAACAGAAATGCAATATGACATCCATAACTATGTGTTCAGTGGTGTATAAAGAACTTACTTAATAAACCGTAATGTTTTTATTACCTTAGAATGAGGCATTTATATCTACATAGGCGCGGGAATCCCCTTCTATGAAGGTCGCCATATTGTGACGTCATGTTTCTACCGTAGCCGACAGCGAACAAACAGCGCTACAGAGCGCGTTTCGTCACTACATTGAAAGAGAAGCCGCAGGAAGCTAGAAGAAGCTAGTCATAAACACCGTGAGTAACGTTAGTGACTTTTCCCTTGTCAGTGGTGTAAATATGTAGTTGGATTGTTTCATGTAACTTAATTCTTATCCCTCGCTGTGTTATGGCTTTGCTATGTGGGGATAAATGTGCTGGTTAAGTTCGTGAGACAGCTGATTAGTAGGCTACTCTTGTCATTGACCGTAAAACAGTTACAGGAATCACCAACCCGTCGATCTTGGAAGCATTTTAAGTCGATCGAGTTTCCAAAATCAGAGAAAAAAAGCCTATTGTGTGTAGTAAGTGGTGTCTAGGGGATGCGGAGGCGCGCGCGCTGTTACAATCACGTCATTTTTGCCGCGCGCACCTTTGCGCTCATGCGGACGCGTCGAGTTTAAACAAGGCTTTACGCTTTAACCAGCTCAGCCACAGTAACAGCTCATATTAGCCAGCTAAACTTTTACTACCCTGTTAGAAAAAATATATAGTTGCATAGTTTCATGTGGTTCTTCTCCCTCGCTGTATTATGGGTTTGCTGTGTGGGGAGAATGTGCTGGTTACGTTCGTGAGACAATCAGCTGATTACTATTATTATATTATGTAAGGTGCATTGTGTAATATTTCTGAGGATCTATTGACAGAAATGCAATATAAAATCCATAACTATGTTTTCAGTGGTGTATAAAGACCTTACTTAATGAACCGTTATGTTTTTATTACCTTAGAATGAGACATTTATATCTACATAGGCGCGGGAATCCCCTTCTATGAAGGTCTGAAGGTATGTTTCTACCGTAGCCGAAAGCGAACAAACAGCGCTAAAGAAACCTCATTGCTTGACTTACTACTCTCTGCTGCTGACTCAGACTCAGACGACGACATATTTTGTCTTACGTCGGCCACCGTAGCTTCTCATTCGAGTTTGAAAACCGAGGGATAGGCCGCGAGTGACTGGCTGTTTGCAATTTGCAAGTCTCACCACTAGATGCCGCTAAAAATCCCACACTGCACCTTTAAGGGGCAATGTATGCAAATATTTTTCTTTATCATATATGAACGTACGAATGCAGAGGCCTAATTGAAGCTAAGAAGAAAGAAGCTAACTTAGTTGCTAACTTAGCACTGTGGGCCTCAAATTCTTTCTCCTATTTGTCACATCACGCTCCTTCTGTCACCTGTTGTGTGAAGTGTGTGGTCGGTGAACTGTAGGAACTGAATGGTGCTTTGGGGATAATGTTGTATAGTATGTTGTGTTCAGACGGAATGCATTAACGTCACTTTCCCGCCGGAACACGCCCCCCTCAGCCGGACTGAGTGGCAAAAGAGCTGCTGTGTGGCTGGAGTTAATAGGGTAAACTGCGAAAACGCAAGTAAAACAAACTATTATCAGTTTAAACTAAAAGTTGGACTCGATGTAGTGTTCATTACAACTTATCAAAGATCCAGTGATCCATGGATATTGACATGATGCAGCCAGCAATCGTGTTTCCTGACATTTATATGTGCCTGATTTCGGCGCCGGGGAAATAAATTAAGAAAATTTGCCTGTAAACGTTTTATATAAATACAATAGATAGGTCTAAATCCGAGTGATCACTTACATTAATGTTATACTGTATATCATCATATCGTCCAGCCCTAAAACTTGTATAGTTTTTTGTCAGTGTTTATTTAAAAACATCAAATTATGCAGAATATAGTCTGTTCTGTAGCTTTTTGCAGTCTGTAAAAATATACAGTACCTCAGATTTCTGGTCAAATCTAGTTGTATAGTCAATCGTAAAGCTCTTTCCCGTTTTAGATGTGTTTTGTGTGTTTTTCACGGCATTCACGCTGAAAACAAATGCTGCCGCTCAGTCTTTTTGCCACTTGTGGGCGTGACCGCATTCACTCCGGCCGATGGTGACGTCATGCACATACCCTCTATAGCAAAATGAATTTTCGACTCCCGTTATGTTATTTTAAATGACAATTGTTGGTCACTAGAAAAATTCTTAGTTGGTGGCAGCTCTAGTTCAGGGTTCGTACGGGACGTTTGCTCGAAATCCTTAAGTGCTTGAATTTTGATGTGTTTTCAAGGTTTGAAAATGCTTAAATTCTGGATAAAATGCTTGAAATTTTAACTTTCTTTCACAACAAATACCTATCTGACTGAATAGTTTGTTTATTAAATGAAATAGGCGGAGCTTTCATTTTGATTTTCGCGCTTGTTTGGATGCCCCGTTTTTATTGGCCGTGCGGGTAATCGTCACAGAGCGCAGCGGCAAAAGTTGATACCTTGGCATTAATAAAAAAAAAAAGAAAACACTTTTTAACTTTGACCTCGGCGTGCGCTCGAGCTCCAACGCTGCGCTCCGCTTTGGTCGACTCGGCAACAAAACGTCCTCGTACTGCGCAAGCCATTGAAATAAACGGGTTCCATGGTACGAACCCTGTAGTTGTATATAGTAACGTCTATATGACATACAACAGCAGCCAATGGGCCGGGGTATCTACATTTCTATACTAAGCTGGTTACTAGTTACCTAATTTGAATGAAGTGTCAACTTCTAATAGTATGCTGTTTCATTTCTAGGGCACTGTTTCATCTAGCTATGTTTGTCTTCCAATGTTTTCAT